GGGGGGAGGACCAGGGAGGATGATTCAACCACTCAACCATTAGATGTCACTGAAAACAACAAATCCTACACACTGTGCTTTTAATAATCATCACTCAATTCCACAATATTTGTTTACTCAGACTTCTTGGTTATCAGTGTGCAAAAATGGCAACGGTTAGCTGTTTCACTACTATAAGACTATAATATTTCTACCTTAATAACTCTAATGCAAAATTGACAACTTTGTAATGATTAAAAAAAGAATTGACACAACCTTCTCTGGATATGTAAGACATCCAAAAACCACTTAAGAACTGGTTCAGCTCAGGTCCTAAAGACAAACTAAAGTCTCGTACAAACAGGGATCAGCTTCAAAGTTTGGCTGTTTGTCCTCACAAATACACACAGCCTTTGTAACTCACCAGGAAAGTGATTACAACTCTGTGTCTCTGACTAATCTCCATGTTTTGGCGGTGGAAGTGTTGTTTATCACTTCACAGTTGTCATGCAGTTTGTTGGAGCTGAGTGAAAGAAGTTGCCCACGCAGTTTCTCAGCAACAACAGCAGCATTATGAAGAATAGACTGATAGTGAGCTGCAGGCTGCCTGGGTTTATGATTTCTGCACACTGGCAGCATTTTACTGCACTGAGAAGAATGCTCTCTTCTCAGCTCACTTCTAATGCACTTTTTTTTSCCTCATATGGAAAAATATACCAGAACAAACGATCACTGTAGATCTAAGCTGAAAGCCGTGTGTGATAGCTGCGCAGCTAGCGTCCAGTTCAGTGTTTGAGGAGAACGTTGGTTACTTATTGTAACGCCAGATTCTATGAGTATAGGCGTAGCCCTTTAAGGCTATCGCTAGTGGGTTTATCCCTCGCACGCAGCTCAACACTGAAAACTCGTAGTCCACGCCCACCCACTGGGTGGGCCTCCCCCGGTCTGTATAAATAGCAGTCAGACCGGACAATCGACTCCCTAAAAGACTTTTTCTTCAGCCAATTAGGAACCAGTGAGGCCCATAGCTTARAGGGCTGCACCTATACTCATAGWATCTGGGGTTACAATACGTAACCAACRTTCTATTTCGTATAGGCTTSGCCCTTTAAGGCTATCGCTAGTGGGTTAAAGGCGAAGCTGGATGTAGTCCATGCCTCACTGGGTCCATTCAGACCATAATATGAAGCATCTGCTCGCACATAACAAAAAACACTCACAGCCTGAAATGCGTAATCGTTCTGGTGAACATTTTCCATCACCTGTCTGATTCTCAGCATGTGGARCGGCCTCTCCATGATCGAGCTGTTGAACAGAGACAGGTCCAGAATGGGTCTCACTCCTCCCGTTTTTTTGGGGACCAAAAAATAACGGGAGTAGAACCCCGCATTTTCCTCTCCGCGGGGAACCGTGGAAATGACCTTTTTTTAACCTCAGTTCCTGAAGTTCTGACCGGAGAGCAGCGCTCTGCTCTGGAGATGACAGAACCGTCTCCACAATCCCTCTGAACGGCGGCGAGCGACCTGCAAACTGCAGCGTGTAACCCCTGCTGATCAGCTGATCCATCCACCTGTCGAGGGAACATGCGCGCCGCCACTCTGAGTAACGCTCTGAAAGCGGGCGTGCATTTATGTGTGGTGCTGTGGTCCGCACGGACTCTAGCAATGTTAGAGCCCCTACCGCCRTCCCCTGCCTCGCAGCTGCTCCAGAGGGAACCCATGGGGGGCTTGGACAGAAAGGGCTGCCTGTCACCCTTCATGCAGCACTTGGGCTGACGGGAGAGAGCCAGCGTGTTCTGACTCTGCTTGGGCGTGGGCCGCTGCTGGAGAGATGACGCACTCTGTGAGGTGTGTGTGAGGAGGCAGCAGGAACATCCAGATGTTCTGACTGCTCAGAAAAAACTCTGCTGGAATCAGACTGCGCAGAAGAGCCAGACTGATCTGCTGAAACAGAAAAACTCTGTGCAGAAAATGTGGAGCTGCGGCGCCTCGTAACCAGCTGTTTTAGAGGTGAGCGACTCGCTGTGTGTGATGGAGCTGCTGTGAGATCAGCTGATCTGACAGACAACATGGATTTTGTAGGAATTTCGCGCTTAGTGAGATGTTCGTGTTTTATTTCAAAACATTTCACATTTTCACACAGTTCCCCCCAACTTGTCATTTCTTGTTCTGCCTTCTCCACGGGCCCTGCTGCTGATGACTGGACCAGGATGGCTCAGACTGACGGCCTCTGGCTGGAGGGCGGGGGCGCTGGCTGTCTTCCCGGGAACAAACGGCGAGCGGAGGATGAGGATGGCGGAGGAGCTGGGCGGGAAGAGGCTGCAGCTGCTGTGGAGCATCTTTCCTGCTGACGGCAGCCACATCGGTCCCTCCAGCGACCCGAGGTTCAGGTTGAGGCCGCACCAAGTGGCGAAAAGACTCAGAAACCTCCTGAGTCTGCTGAGACTTCTTCACGAGAGAGTAGACGTTGGCACCAAACAGCCCGTCAGCTGTGATGGGACCATCCAGCAGATCCTTCCGGAGCTTCTCCGTCATGGATGGAGCCAGGTGGATCTGGGTGGCCCAGGCAGCGATCCCCGAGGAGCAAATCACTGTGGTGGCGCACAGGTTCAAGATTGCGTCAGCCTCCTTACAGAGAGARCTCTTTAGATCCTCTGGCAGGGCAGTTTCCTCCAGCTGCTTGGAAATGCCGTAAGCGAACACCTCAGCAAGACCTGGATCCAGAGGGGGGACAGAGGGAAAACTCCGCTCTGTAAACCCCTCCACCCTGGTGATGGGCGCGTAGGTGGAGACTGGCGCCCTCAGCTTGGCGGGCTCAGCCGCTGCTTCAGCCAGGAAGTCCATCACGGCGGGAAACTGAGGCCAGATGGGGTCYGGGCAGCGACTTGAGGCAGAACCAAACCTTCCCGCCAGCTCATTCAAGTGGGACGGGGGAGGCTGTGGGACTGGAAGTCCCTTAGCGCTAGCAGCCTCCTGAATCAAGCTAGGCAGCTCGAGGAGGAGCGCGCCCACTGCTGGGAGCGGGGTGGTGGTKGACATTGGAAGCCCGGGGTTGACTGAGCAGTCGCTCAGTTGCTTTTCCTCCAGGATGGCGCTCTCCATTACGGAGGCAGAGTCACTGCCGCTTACGCTATCATCGGAGTCGTCTTCACCCTCGCCATTTCCCCCGGTGTCTTCTTTGCTGGCGGGATCATTCGTTTCCCGCTCAGCGCTGCTAGCTTGCTGAGCACAGCTAGCTTCCTCCTGCAAGCGGGTACCGGACTTGGTCGACTCACCCGGCGGTCCAATAAGAGCCTTGAAAAAGGCTACCCTCCGCCTCCTCTCCTCCAGCGGGAGGAGAGCTCAGGGACGACAGGTGGGCTGAGGTTCCAGGGCGGGGTCGGTGTGCCAAGGTCCCAGGCATCTCTCGCAGGTCTCGTGGTTGTCGAAGGATAAGATGTTACCCGTCTGCCACGACGGGCACAAACGAATAATGTTGTACATCTTCTCAATGTTGCTTGAAGAAAAAAAGGGAGCCGATTGTCCGGTCTGACTGCTATTTATACAGACCGGGGGAGGCCCACCCAGTGGGTGGATGTGGAGTACGAGTTTTCAGTGTTGGTCTGCGCGCGAGGGATAAACCCACTAGTGATAGCCCGAAGCCTATACGAAATAGAATTATTTTTCTCATGTTAAATTTAGAGCAAATGCTTATAAATGCAGCTGTTGTCTGTAGYTTTAAAAGGCTAAAGTTAGCCCTGTTTGCCGACAGACCTGAAAATATGGTTATGAACTTTTTTCTCTTTGTTTTTCTAATCTTGTCTCCTGTTTTCCCCAGATCCTCAGTCTGATAGTCCTCATCTGCTATGCTGCCTCTTTGTACGGAGGCTACACTGCTGTGGCCATCTGTGAGATGGTCTTTGCCATAATCRTCTTTGTCATCTTCATGCTGGAGCTGGACAAGCAGTTCCTGGTAGTCCACTGGGTCTGGACTGTGAGTCCTCCACAGGAGCATGAAAACACACTCTGACATGCTGAGGTATAAAGTTGCTTCATCTTCCGTGTTCCCCTCATCTGTGCAGGACTTTTTCCGCGCCATAATCGGYGCCTGCCTTTACGTCATCACGTCTCTCATCTGTGTGATCGGTGGAGCTGGGGACGGAGCGCGTATCGCAGGCGGGGTGAGTGAAAACACCATGACTCAGCCCGAGCTCTGATGTCCGTTGTGAAACTGCGCATCCTGGTTCTGGCTTTGTTGTGTGTGTGTGTGTGTGTTATTTTATTTTTGATAAATCAGTCATCGTTTGCAGGATGGATGTGCAGAAAAAAACTTGTTGATCTGTGTTGTTACTGTTGAGTAATATCAGAATTAGATCTTATCTCAGGTTTTCTTCCTTTGACGATTGAGCGGAAACTGTTAGATTTTGCAATGCAAACTCCTCCTGTTGGGAGGGTTTATTTTTTCAATCGTTTAATTTTGTATAAAAAATAAATCATATTGCAAATCATTTTTCTAAATTCCAACCTTCTGGCCTTGGGAAATAATAAAAAAGAAATACATTAGAAATGTAGTCTGTCACGCTGCACTGTTGGTACTTAGTTTCAGCACATCTGATTTTTTTAACACATTCTCAGGTCGGACTATGACCTAGTCCTTACCGACTGTGGGTTTTTCGGGTTTGCGTGATGTATGAGGTTAACATGAGGGATCACGATTAAAGGTTAACTTGACGGTCTGTGGTTAACATGAGCGATCAGGGTTAATGGTTTACTTTAGAGTCTGTGGTCAGGGTTAGGCTCTATAAGGCTAGTAGAAGTTACATTTAGGGTCTAAGATGGTTAGTTTCGCGCAATTCTAGACTTGTAAAAACACCGTCCTCCTCTGCCCCATCT